GTACCTCCATTATTCCTGGGAGGAAAATTCGAGCAACAAGTTTTAGTGCGGTGACAGATTAACTCTAAATATAAAGAGAAGTCACCAGTATTCAAGGCAACGGTGATGACTGGAATTTTATGGAATATCACGGAATTAATACATGGCTTCAAAGAAACTATAGGTACTCAGATCTAGAAGAATGACCAGTTCTAATTCTCTTAATCGCTGCAAGTATAAGTGAAGAAAAACCAAACTAGGACTTCTAACCCTAAAAAATCGATGGTCCAGAGAAAATGCGCACATAAACGACCTAAGGATAGCATCGGGTGATTTATGAAAGGCTTAGTGCAACGCCATCAAAGGCCAGTAAAGAACGTCAGACGGGTCAAAGAAGCCAGGAGGCGAAGCCATGCGTCTTCATTTCAACGCTTCCCCGGCGCTTCTCTAAAAAAAAGATCAACGGACGAAGTTTAGCAGAATACTCTATTATAGGAACGTCAAATTTGAGAGCTAGTGAGAACGTTCTCGCAGCTTCATAAATGCTGAAGCAGTCATTACGATAAACCACTTAAATTCAAGTTCACAACCCAAAATGCCAATATATTTCTACTAGTTAATCGTCTATCAGTCAATTATGCAATTCGATCAAGCTGACTAAAAGCAAACTGAGAAAACGAGGATCCACAGAGCAAGAAAAACTCTGTCCGCAACGAAGCAACGCTACCGACGCCAATTCAAAGCTCGAATGGCATTCCCGGCTTTGCCAGATTTGCCATGAAAGCCCTCGGACCCTCTTATAGCGGGAAGGAAGACTTCGGGCCTTGCCTTTACCTTTATTACCTAGCAATAATTTCCTCACAGTAGCAGCTATCAGAAACCCAAAGAATTTCTAATTTCGTATAGAACCAAAAATTTAATTTGCTAATACCGTTACACGAATTCTGACGACTCAAATGCTCAACGCTCGGCATTCTCAAAAACGGCAAGAACGCTCGTCCCTGAAATGTGGTCTAAGAAAGGCAACTTATGACGCGGAGAACGTATAGGAAGTCCAAGACCAGCAAAACGTCTCTTCGTATCTAAAAAAATATATTCCAACTTTTACCGTAATCAACAGCACTTCTGTAACGTGATTAATCGATTGATGAAGATTCGTCTAACTTCAGGATTTGCAGCATACTAGGGAAATCAATTTTAACACAAGTAAAAAAAAATTATACAAACTGTTCAATATTACCAGGAGTTATTGTGAAGATTACGCCGCGCGCCCACAATATAACTTGTAGATGCAATAAGCGCTCCATTCGTTTCCTCAGAGAGCAGTATTTCATCCAATTCGCTTTTGTTGAGTATTGAGGGAGAAGCCAGCGAGACGCTAGGTACTCTTATTATTGAGCCTGCCACAAGCCGTGGCCGATATTCCAGCAATCGGGGAAGGATAAACTAGAACAGAGAAGTCTGTCATAAATTTACTAAGCTGACTATACGTTGAATCGTTTATTTGAATAAACTAATATTTGAGCCAATACAATTCTTGCAAGTTTAAAGACGGGATATAGTTATATAGTTGCCACAACACGGCCGCATGAGCCATGCATATGACGTCCAAGTCAACGGGGGTAGCAGAGAGCAGTTGCCAAAAATTTTTACTTCAGTGGGCGACGATCAATTCACTAGTGCTTTGTTACATAGTTCCCTAATTACAACGCAAGATTATGCAAACCTGCGCCATCGGATCAGAGCTATGCTCAAGCTCAAAGCACAAATAGCACTCGTTGCTACATTGTGTGACAAGGTCAAATATTCGCGCACAACAATATTCTGGAGACTCGAAAATCTTCTATCTATTAAAAATTCGGCACACTATTAATGTTCACTTGAGTTAACTTTATCACAGGAGTTGAAGAAATTCTCACGTTCAATTAGATCGTCTATATTTATACCCTTTACTCTCTGATAATGCTGTTTATTGCCTGAAAGTCAGCATCCCTAAAAATTAGAGTTGGATCAAATGTTCCCAAGTTAAAAATCATACAAAGCTACTACAAGCATTGCAGTTTTCATGTTTGAAGCGTGCGTCATATTAGAATTAGCATTCAAATCAGTTTGAATCCATAAGTAACGTCAAAGCTATTCCTCAAGGCCGACATCCAAATGGTCAAACTCAGTCTGCGGTGAAGGTTTTAAACATATACATTATTGGTTCCCAAAGTGCGCGATATCGCCCCTCTAGGGGCGGTGGAAAATTTTTGGGGGAAGAAGAGGGCGGTAGGGGGGCGATAAGGGGGGCGGTAGTCCAAAGTCAAAGTCAGAAGTTCCAACGCTTGTTTGACGATTTGTACTCAACACGAGCAGCACATGACTCCCAGCGTTTTTTTCACACCCAGATCTGTTTTAACCTCTCCTGGGTTTACGGCACGGACAAATCAACGGCTGGACTCGCGGCCGGTCTCACGGCCAATTTCTAAATCCAATGATCAAGGAATATCTCTCAAACTAATGAACTTAACTCTATGAAACTTAGTACGCGTATTCATTAGAACCTAACCATTGCCATTGTTTTATCGCAATACGGGCCGAAATTCACAGTGATCAAGTGGTTTCTTTCAAACTACTGAAGAGATTCTAACGAAATTTTGAATTTACAGTCCTATCTACCGAACGGTAATGTTTAGCTCGTGAAAACTTTTTCGATCGTGCCTTCGTTTGAGTTTTTTTCTTCTTTTCACCTTCATCCGTGATACAAGCAGCAATACGTGTTTAAATTCGCATCAATCAAGATATTTTTTTAAACTTCCGAATAGATTTGAACGAAACTTTGTATTTAAATACCTAACCGCAGCAACGGTGATGTTTACAATTTTTTCGATACGGCTATATAGGTACGTATAAGGCTCTTCGTTAAATCGGCCGGTAGAAAAGCCGGTCGTTCCTCCTATATCTGTATAACTCGCGAACGAAAGCAAAATAGAAAAATCGTCACCAGCTAAACATCACCGTTGAGAGGTTAGGCATTTATATTCAACGTTTCCTTTAAATCTCTTCTGTAGTTTAGAAGAAATTTCTGGATCGACGCGAATTCAAGTGACAAATTACCCGGCGATACGGGCCGAATATAAAGAAGTGTGAAATCAAGAATGACTGAAATGAAAAAAAAACTCGCAAACAAAGGTAAAATAAAAATTTATAAGCTAAAAAATCCCCGTTTGGAAGTTATGAATGTATGTTCAAAATTTCGTTCAAATCTGCTCAATAGTTTGGAAGAAATTCTTTGATCACTGCGAATTTCGGGCCGTTTCGCAATATGCGCGTTACTCACGAATGAAGGTAATATTAAAAAAAATTACGAGCTAGACATCACCGTTAGGTTCTGATAAATACGTGTTCCAAGTTTCATAGAGCTGCGTTCATTAGTTTGGGAGATAATACTTGATAATTGAATTTGGAGATTGGTCGTGAGACTGGCCACGAGTCCGGCCGTAAATTCGCCGGAGACGCACTAGGTTTCTATGTACTGCTGAAACTTTTAGAACAGCTGAAAAACATTGGTTTACTAAGTGGGGTTCTATTTGTGAAATATACATTTGTGTTTAACCATCTTTTAAAATTGCAGCGTACTAAATTTCAAGAAAGAGGCGTATGTCTGTGGGGGGCGCTAGAAATTCACAAGGGAGCCAAAGGGGGCGCCAGCCTGAAAAAGTTTGGGAACCACTGATCTACAATCTACATTGTAGGAAATTCTACGCAAGAGGCAAGCGTTCATTACAATCCTGGCTTCTCAAAATTAGAAAACGGTTCAACGAATCAAGGACGTTCTAAATGCATTATCAATGACGCTGTAACAGCGAGGTTTTCGTAGCTTGGAACAAAGACGTCAAGCTGCCAATTTAGTTCTATATTCTTCTCTAGAGCACAGGAAGAACAGGATGGTTTAGAGTCCGAGAATCGACCGTCATACTAGAAGAAACGATTGCCGTCTATTCTTGGTAACTAATGTCCAAGTATAGTCACTCTGGTCAAAATATATTCGTCATCATTGTAACGTAAATCAAGGATAGATCTCACCTTTTCCAATCCAATGAAAAGTAAGTGAGCATATAGTACTTTCAGGTGTGCTCTAACTAGTATAAGGTTGAATAAAGGTAAGTTTGAGGAATTCAAATTGTCAAGTGGCAAGTACAAAATTGCCAAGGTTAGTTCAACGTTATGGCACTTAGTATTATGGTTAAACATGAGTTAAGTCAAGAGCACGTTAACGGCAAGAATCAAACTTACTCCCGCCAATCAAAGTCGCTGGATTGTGATTACGAAAAGGGCTTAAGTAATGAACCTCAGCTTATGTTTAAATATCCATTCTAAAATAATATATGCTGCACCCACACAAAGTAGCAAGTAGCAATTCAAGTGCGCGGGCGTGCCACGCAGCTACAGAGTTCAGATATTAATCAAACAGGCAACCTGTAGGTAGTTTGAATTTTCCACTCAAATGCGAAATGGTGTGCACAACTGAGGAAAATTTTATAGAAACTAGGCAATCTGCGATCTGCGTTCGACGTAATCTATCCACATTCTAAGGCAAAACAGTAATTCGACATACAACTCAAGCACCTAGTTTCCATTAGACTAACTATTCAACCAAATTTTTCCATATAGCAAGATGTAGGTCGATTGATCGACACAGCGCTAGGCCGATGGCCACAGCAAACGGCAGGATTCAAATTCGATGTTCGTACCAGAATTTTACTCTAATTGCTTGGTAGTATGACTACATAGAAGCAGTCAACATTTAAAATCATGATTTAATTATTCTTTGAAAGTACCTAGCAATCATACATCCGTAGCTACTACCTGAATTCTGGAAGTAGGTATAGGCTACCAATTTATCAAAGCATTTCAATGCAGTCCATGACTTTGTACGAGGATACTCATCAAATGAGAATAAACAAGAGAAGTCGACAACGCCTGCATTATGGAAACTTATAACAAGTAATTACACATTTTCATCGTAATTTACTTACTTTTATGCTTGTTAGAAGATTGGAAGAAAGACTTCAATAAGGACGACATCGTACAGACATCCACATTCAACAAAGATAGACACTATTTCCACATTCGCACGGCAGTGCAATGTAGAAGAGCACGAGTAGCACGACCGGCCGTATCAACCTATGCTCTTACTCTGAGGCGCAGTCATCTCATCTCCGTGCCGAGAAATCTTGTGCCAGTGATCGTTACCAGATGCCGCCACGTGAAAACCCAATGTAACGCAAGACTGAAAAAAATATTGTTATATAAATTTTGGAACATGTTACCATTTATCCTGGAAAATATAAATTAGAACTCTTATATCAGTGCAAACAGTCTCTTTTTAAATGACGTTTTTGTTGCGATTAATGCACTCTGCACAATAACGTGAGTACGTGACTAATCTGTAATTCATCATTCCAGGACTGAACAACGCAGAACATTATACATTCATAATTAAAAATATACCACATATTGTAGATGTAAACATACCACCATCGATTTACTTCATATGAACTGTTAATTGACTGATAAGAAAGTAACATGTATATAATCGAGCATCCTCGGTGGGTCTGAAATGGGCAAGAACGCTACGATTGATATCGTGAGTTACAGATTCGAGCATCGGCTAGCTGTTAAAATTCTCATTCCAAGTCGGTGAGTTGGCCGGTTGGTTGAGAACAGTAATATTGAAATGCGACTATGAAACCCAGTAGTCTGTGAAATTTTTGAGAGGTTTAGAATCGTCGACAGGCTGTAAATGTTTTTGTTTCCTACACTTACACCATTATATTGAGATCTTTCATATTTCAAGTTGACCCAGCAATAGGTTTCAAACCAACACCCGACTCAATTGTGAAGTTTTCTTTCTGACTCGTAGTCTGAACGAAAATAACCGTAACCAAACCGAAAGTTTGATTTGAAACGTTCATGATTGATGGTCGTCCTTATTCAATTTTAAAAGAGGCTTTTTCCATTCATTAACATTTCAACACGAAGGAAACTAAAAGTCTTATTAGAAATATTCATTTATTCCAACGACAGGACTAGATATCCGTGGAGTGGGTGGCTCTAAGCTACCACAGAAACTACTTAACATTTTGACCAGATGTACATTTAGAGTTACTACAAACGATCACATAGAAGATATAGATACCATAATACATTCTTTACACGAAGGGTAGTAACAGGAATGGGGCGAGTCATTACGAATAGAATTTCTACACGAGTCCTCAAACAAACCTCTGCTATCGTGAGACATTCACCACCTACTTATAAATTAACAAGCGGTACACCGATGATACCGAACATACTGATTCTACCTATATAACCCATCATATGAAATCTCTTTTGTTATTAATGGAGTTCATCCTTGTTAGAACTTAGTGACAGTGAAATGAGTTTACTAGTTTGAACTATCTAGAATTTACGTTGCCAAAATCCACAGTAAACGATTACCAAACGAAAGCATTAAAATATTGTGAAGTATTCCTTACCAGCTGATTTTACAGGGACACTCAATCCCTACAAATTTAAAACTGCAAAAAATTAAAAATAACCCAAAGCCATTTTTTTATAGTTTTACAATATCCTGAAAGGGTTATCGCAATTAAACACGGCAGAAGGAAATGGAAAATAAACAATTATTTGATTGCACAAGTGACAATAACTTGCCAGCATTTCACTATCTAGGGATCATATTTCTAACACAGAAACGTCATAGAATATCCACCATATGTCTTTAGATCATCAAAAGAAGTCACACAAAAGTGGACTGAGTAATACCTGCTTGCATGTAAGGCTAACACCGCTCGCACGTGAGCACTGGTCTGAGCGGTCACTACATTTCTGGGGCCATACTTTCAAAACTAGCTAAGTGAACGTAAGTACTTACGCTCTATTTTCTTTTCTATGATTGGTGGATTTTGCTTGAAAGGCCGTCAATGATTGGATTATGAACTTACGATCTCTTAACTTTTTTTGAAAGTATTGGCCCTGGTTACTACGTTATGAAAGATCTGGATCAACGGAACTGCTCTCCCGTCATTACATGGTTCAAGGTAAATGTTATAAAATAATGAAATGAATGTGAAATGATTATTCATTGAAGTTCACGATTAGTGATATCACATGAGGCGAAAAAGAGAGACTACGTGACCAAGGACATGCAAGTGGTGTCGGTATCTCGACGCGCGATGTCCCAACATAGAACGATGGAACTGAGCTCACATTTAGGAACATGCACGTAATTGAAGAAATGAGGAGGTTCTCGATAGCAAATTTAGAACGAAAGCGTCAGATGGCAGTCTACAGCTTTCCTCTTTCACTTGAGACCAAGATGCTATTTTATGATACCCAGAAAATGTCATAGCTACGAAGAATACTGAGCAAGTGCCTTCATATTTCATAAAATAATTTAAGGTTTAGGGACAAATTTGGATATTGTCATTCAAATTATAAATGTACTTACATATAACAGAGTTGTACAACCGACTGAGGCTAATTCCGCAGATAAAAATAAGCAAATGACATAGCATAATGGTGCCAGTTTTTTAATAAAATGTATAAAAAAAATTTTTAAAGACCACGTTTTTCATGTGGACTCAAAAGTAGAAAATAATTTTTCGGCAGCTACTGATCTCTGTTTGCTTTCATTCTCTTGGTCTTTTGTATTTCAGTTAAAATATTTTACAACATCTAAAACGAAAAACGTTTAGATGTTGTAAAATATTTTAACTGAAATACAAAAGACCAAGAGAATGAAAGCAAACAGAGATCAGTAGCTGCCGAAAAATTATTTTCTACTTTTGAGTCCACATGAAAAACGTGGTCTTTAAAATTTTTTTTTTATACATTTTATTTTCTACTTTTTAGTTTTTTAAGTATTTTATTTTCTCATTTTTAGTCCGTTGCTACACATGAAACACGTTGTTGCGAGCCAATTTACTTGACTTGATGTACGTATTGATGATACGAAGCGTATCATCGATATACGCAGTCTAAACACGAATATCCTCTCGAGGATGACGTGCATTAAAGGCTCCCAACCCCTGCTTGTGAGTTCCTTTAGAGTTTATACGCCTTGAAACGTGCAACAAATTATTGATTATTGCATTGTTATCGGAAGCTGAGCTTCCCTAAAAGTTTCAGTGCGCTAGCCAATGGGAAAGTTGGTGAAATATCGATTGCAAGATTTGATCATCACAGACACGAAAGCGAGCTAAGAAAAACGTGGTAAAAACAGTTAATAATCGTTCATTTAGACTCAAGTACCGACGTGTTTTTTTTTTCAATGATCAATTCATCATAGGTGACATTCCTACGACGAACTACTTAATCTAACATCACTCCATCCTATTAAATTCACTATACAAAAATGGAACTGAAGTGTTCGCAGGAATATTGAGCTCCAACGATTTCGATGATCCAACATCTCGTCTAAACTCTAAAGTAATAGACTGCAAAATTGAAGGAACAATCACAATTCGGAAATACGAGATTATAATTAATAAAAAGAAGAGGAAGAATGAAGAAATATTGAAAGGAAATATTGTTTTAGTAGTCGGAAAGACTGAACGATTTAGTCTCTTTCTCACGCATAATAGGTTTATCTGTGGGCACGCTGGCATCAAGACGTACACGCCTATGCAAAAAGCCAAAACCTGAATTCGGACAAGTCCGAACTTCCGAAGGATGTGACATACTTTAAACAAGAGATAAGGATAAGCCAACAAGCAACAGCACGGGAACAACAAGAAGGAAAGGAGGCTAAACTAACATATCATTAGATGAATACAAACACATACGCCACTGCTCCCTGCAGCACAACTCAAGACTTGAATAACAACAATTCAAGTTTCATCTACACCCCATCAAGTCATTCAAACGGCCTTTGAAACACGTTTTTTATAACCTTGGACGTTGAAAAAACGTTTTTTTTTTTTCTATGATCGATAAGTTAAAACTTCAATGCGATGAAGGAAGATCGTTGACGCTCTGGAGCATTCCATTTAACGTATTCAATTCAAAATTAATTACAATGGTCTGTCATTCCACGAAATCGTGACCCTAATACAAAATCTTGAATAGGGCTATTTCGGGAAAAAACTTAGTATGGTCTTGAATCATTAGCTTAATCCAGCATGTGCTGACCAGTGTGAAGGAGGCTGGGGCATTGATGTGAATTGACCGTGGCAAGGGAATCTGTTCCAATAAACTTGGGAACAAATTTTTAGAGCAGTAAAATAATGATGGACTGAGCTTAAAGTTAGGCTCATGCACATTATGACACTATTACTCAAACAGATAATAAATTACAGAAAAGTTATTATGCAGTAGAATTCTGTAAATTTAATTCAGTGTATAATGGTAACTTATGCAAGAAGATCTTACTTCAGAATCAATTTAATGTTCAAGTTTGTATGACATTAAAAACACAAAATCTGTACATTTTCACCATAAAAACATGCAGTATAATAGCATATTTTAAATTCCTTGAATGAAACAAGATATGGAGAAAACTAGGATATCTTTGGCATCACAACTACTAACACATATTGCAATATTTACTCTGACGAAAATAACGCATCCGCTCAGAGATCAAACACATTTCTTCAAAATGGCAAGAAAAAAAATATGGCAGAAAAAGAAAAGACTTGTAAATACAATACAAAGAAACATCACTGTATTGATAAAGTAAGATGTTCGAGAAAATAGACAAATAATTTTATCTCAGTTACTTCGACCAAAAAAATTTTCACACACATCCACATTTGAATAATCAAGATCGACGTTTCACTATTCTTGATGACATGACACGACAATGTTTGAAGAACACACATTTTATTAGGAAAGAAAATGAAAACAATTATTAGATTTCGGGTGAACCAGTAACTTCAGAGATAATATCTCGAGCTTAAATAAACAACGAAATATTCATTCTTATGTCATCATTTTGAATGGGAGACTCCTCGCGTCGTGGTAGAATAAGGACGTGCACGGTCCATTTATCAAAAGATTCTCATTGCTTGGCAAATTTATAGTATTTGTCATCCATAGAGCTTATCAGAAATGACAATAGATACCCCAGTTCCTATAAGGTCACCATGAATATCCCAAGTGCGCAACGTGAAAAATATATAATCTAGTTTCAAAATCGAACGTAAATTTTCATTTTAAACGTGTCTCTACCTTCGACGTCTCCTAAGTAAGTCACAGGCTGCACTCCATTCAAATGAAGATTTTGCATTCAAATGAAGTCACTCACAATTCTCTTCATCGTGAAGTTATCCATAAAATCGTCAGACACAAGAAATTACCTGCAAGTTCATATGGCAAACACAAGGTCCTATGAGGTCTGCAGCAAAACATAAAGTTACCTAAGAATTCTGCTGGTGAATAAGGTTCTGCAGTTCTTCTGCAGATCGTAGCAAAAAAGCTGCGCTCTCCCTGTACCCTGTGATGAGTTGCCGCACCGCTGCCACTTCCACAGGACTCAGCGAAGGACGCGACTTGCCTGACGCAGGAGGAGCTGCTGCTGCTGAAGGTGCTACAGCAGGTGTGCTCGCTACGACGTTACTGTTGCTCATATTCATGGGGCACGGAGCACCAAAACTATTACTCGTGTGACTACCAGCAGCAGGATTATTGGTAACAACCACACCACCACTACCGATGCTGTTCACAACGGTAGCACTTGAAGCCATCGAAATGCCGTTATTAATGCTATTAACGCCGATCATGTTAGAATTAGAAGTAACGCCATTAACTGAATTATTGTTGTTCGTGATGATGTTGTTTCCAGTGGCTAGCGAAGGAGGTACAGATGATGGGGCGCTGGCACCCGATGACATCAAAGGGCCACCGATTGACGAGGTCGCGACGGCAGTGCGCATGCTCAGGTCTGTGGGACCTGCAACATCAGCATCGGCATCAGCGGATGAGTGACGACATGACCAAACAGAAGAATGATATCAACGTAAAAGTGGAATACATTAAAGAACAAGACAGTTATATCTACGAAAGAATGGACAGCTGGAACAGACAAGTGCATAAGTGCACGTGAAGACGAGATTAAAATGTAAATAACGAATGTACAAACATTTAAAGAAGCGTAAACCTAAAATATAGAAGGAGAAGTGCACACTTGAAGTTACAGGTGTATCTTTGAAAGAATGAACAGCTTCGAGGATTTTTATGGCTCTTCTAAACATTAACAGATCAAGTGGTCAATAATTTTTTAATACTTTAATTTCGTTAACTACATTCAAAAACAACCTTTAATATTATTAAAGCAGATAACGATCTCATAACGAAGAAGAAATTACTTGATCACTTACGAAGTAACCAAAATTAAACATCAGATGGTTACAACGATATAAATCAAGTTAAATTTGAAGAACTAACCATTGGTAACTTTTTGATATGCTTGTTGCAGCGACTGGTGATAAGCAGGGGCACACTGAGAGCTGGTGGAAGAAGGCAGGTTTGTGACAGCTGGCTGGAATACCGTCACTCCACCAGCTGTTACACCCACCATTCCACCGCCTGATGTGCCATTCACCATACGCCCCTCCACCACCTGCGGCTTAGCGGCTGAAAGAAAAATTAGTTGCGTTAGTGCCCTACGTAAGGGAATGGACAGTTAAATAACATAGTTGATCGAAAAAAATAGTCAATAGTGACGGAAAAAATACAGGGTAAATTCAGTGGAATGATGAGATAAGTTAACATAGTCCAAAAAATAAAGGAAAGAAATATTGACGGATTTAATGTTAGAAGTAATGAATAAAGAGTTTCGGTGAAGAAATACGGAAATATAATCACAAGAGATAAATAGCGAGCAAATAACTTGTAGCAGTTATACTCAGTAAAACTACTTGTAGCAGTTAAACATTTCGCTGTTGACTAATAAAATCTTGAGTTCTCAACAAAAAAAATAACAATGCCGTAATAAACACTAAGAAAAGTTACGGGATGCAATTTGTTCGTTCTAAGGTACAGATAAAATAATGGCTTTTCAAATGGGAACCATTGCATGACAAAATTATCACACTACACTAACTGGCACAATAGGCAATAATTAAAAGAAGGTGCGGTGCTTGGTATAGAGAATGGCCACTCGAGCTCGTTCTCAGTGCCTTAGTTTGATTTTGTTTGGTTTAAATGCAAGAGACTTGATCTTATTGCAGGTGAGTGAAAAGGCAATAGCAATGGCTAAGTGTAGACACTCACCAACTTCTGTTTTAGTAACGACTGTGGACACGTCCATGAATGTGACTCCTTTGTCGGTGCCAACCTGAAACAAAAAAATATTAACACTAAAAAATTATAATTAATTGATTTCAGTTCCTTCATTATTTCCTTATGCATTGGGTCTGACTCTAATAGCTCGTTAATATATAACTGATTAATATCAAGATAATAATGGATAAGCAGTCACCAGCAACTGCCAAAGAGTTAAATATCGTTACAGAATTGATCACGCGTAAAGTAAACCAGAACAAATGAATATTAAACTGAATTTAATTTGAGAAGCAATTCAATTGTGAAATATCGAAGAAAATTCCAGTATTAAATAAACATCTTATCAAAATTCAGTCTAAACCAAAATGTACTTCTGTTGCAGAACATTTCGGCAAAGCGGCAAAATATTGCATCAAAGTTTAACAACTCCGACACAAGTAATTTGCCTACCCTCAAGTTCCCACCGGAGCAAGAGCAGGTTATTACCACAGTTGTGTGCACTAGACAGCGATGCTAATACGCACGGCTTTGGTCCATGAGGCCAGTGTTCGATTCCCGGCAGGGAGGAATGATTCAAAAACACAGCACTAGCGTGGCCGTGGACGATATCGTCCTGGTTAGACCATACTATCAAAAATAGATAATACTCGTAACTCAACCAATCACTCATGGTTCTTTAAGCTTAACCCACCAATCACTCATGGTTCTTTAAGCTTAACCCACCAATCACTCATGGTTCTTTAAGCTTAACCCACCAATCACTCATGGCTCTTCAAGCTTAACCCACCAATCACTCATGGTTCTTTAAGCTTAACCCACCAATCACTCATGGCTCTTCAAGCTTAACCCATCACTCATGGCTCTTCAAGCTTAACCCACCAATCACTCATGGTTCTTCTAGCTTAACCCACCAATCACTCATGGCTCTTCAAGCTTAACCCACCACTTAAAGAAAATTCGGTAAGGGACTTAAGCAAGTTGCGATAGTGTGGCTCCTTAATTCATAAAAAGATGAAACATAGAAGAGGTCTCACCACGGCAATGGCAGGCTGCTGCTGCTGGTAGGGGTGAGGCTGCGCCACAGGGTCCAGACCAAGACGCATTCTCTTGGCGTTCTGAGCTTCGTTCTCGCACGCGGTTGCCAGCAGCTGCTCCGCCTGTAGGCTCGTCAGGTGCGGGGGTGTGGGTCGTCCACTCTGTTGACGGCAGAATAACTTGTTATGCTTGGCTTCTTAAGAAAGTGAAAAATTCACTGTGATTTTTATGCATACTAATATTGTGGGATAAATTTATAAAAGAACAGTTCACACACAGTATACAAGTATGCTCATGGTTTATACAAGGTCCCAGAAGGATTTCTAGAATTTAAAACAAGAACCAACACCAAAGGCCACAGCTCTAACTAAAAAAAACTGCGGTGCAACTCATTCATGCGACAACATTTCTTCTCGCTTCGAGTCACCGACATGTGGAACAGCCTCCCTAAAGATATTGTTGACGCTCCGAGTATGAACGCGTTCAAGAAGACTAGACAAGGCTGCGCAGGAGCATATGTTTAGTCTTAAAATGCCTCGTATCCTACGGAACAACTGAAATCTAGAAGCGATTCTAAACCTACCGTCCGTACAACGTTGAAAATATGTGATCAAAAAGCCTGTCTTGTCAAGAAAAGAACAAAAATCGGCGACAGGCCTATCCAGGTCTATTCTTCAATGCCGATGATACTAAACTATACTACCTATACTACTATACTATACTTACAAATGACTAAATTCCTAAGGAACCAATGGTGGCACCTGGCACAAGGACTGGTATACGCGTTATTCGTTTGAAATGAATCAAGATTGCAAAGTGACATCCCAAGACATTTAGGACGTTATGTTGACAATACTTTTCTTTCTCTTATGATGATGACCAAAGACCAAGAGAAGATGAGACCGACCACCCAGATGATGAGTTGTTAAGTAGGATGTGACATAACAGCAATCGAAGAAAGATGCAAAACTTTTGGATATCGCAGCTATATTTGAACTATAAATTATTTTTCGCTGGCTGCACGTTTAATTTTATCACGTATTATGTACATTAATGCTTTAATGAAGTAGCAACCAGACGCGAAAACGGGGCTCGTTCCCATATCCATGTTAACCAAATTACGATAACCTAGCTGAACTAACCGATAATTTTCTATCACGTTCTGTTCAACGAAATTAATTTCTACTCAAGCAGGCCTGCAACCAAACAAACTATCCATAAATAGGGCAAGAAGCTCGTTTTGCGGCAATTTCATTTTCTAACAAACCTATAATTCAAGGTAACGTCAAAACTGAATTTTACCCGTTCTATGCTCAATGAAGATAGAAGATCATTAAATGAATTAAATAAATAAATGAGAGGAAATTTGATGTATACCTTTTCTCACTTCGAATCTCTTATGCGTTTCAACTGCACAGATAGAGTTTAAATCGACTAGCAAATTTTTCCCATCGATTAATGCTAATATTTCAATAAAAATACAAAAATCTTCAATTGGCAAATAAAGCAAATCAACTTACTTCCCAGCCATTGGAGTCCCTGGTGCGCTTGTTACGACGGCAGCTCTTGAGGTAGGTCCTGATCCGTTTTCTGGTGCGTTCAGAAAACTCTGGAAACTGCCTGCCGCACGCGTCTATGATGGCCTGTATTTTGTCCTTAGGCTGCTTGCTGATCGGCACCATTCGGTCCAAGTTCTCGTCCACGAACAACCGCACAAACATCTGTGGGTAACCGAAGTAGTTTTAACAGTGAATAATTTTTATAAGCTACTTATATTTGTAAATCATGTGACACGTAATTCATCTTGAATGAGCGTCAAATAACGTCATCAAAGTGAAATTCATCATAATTTGATGATCAAATTTGTACGCACGGAAATATCGAATTCATCGAAAACCCTCATAACTTGAAAATTATTTGTCTTCAATATGAAGTCTTGAGCCTCATAGGGAGGCCTCAAGCCTCACGTTGGCAGGCACATAAAGCTTTTAGACTCACATTGAATGCCTTGAGTCTCTCAGGGTCGTGATGGGCGTCGACTTTGTCGTCGTCGGCGTCGTCCTCATCGTCATCTTCGTCTCGCCCGCCGCCCGTGGACGAGTCGTCAGCGATGCTGGCGGGAGGGTCGCTGAGGGACGGCGAGGGGCACGGCGACTGAGGGGCCAACGTATCGAAATCAGGCAAGGTGAGAAATGCGGCGACTGAGGGACCAACGACTTAAAATCAAGAGGCAAGCATTGAGATGGGCATGGTGAACAATTATAGGTAACCAAGGTTTTACTTCCGTGATTAAGAATCGCAACAAAATTTCGTGAAGAAAAAAGAATTTCGCGGTCTTTAAGTAAATATGGTGCTAATGATGGGGTAGGCATCAGGAAAGCTTGAAGCCTAAAAAGCGTAGTTAAGGCAATCAAAAGTAAATCTGTTAACTTACAAAAAATTACATATTTACGATTTCAAGAAACTTGCGTTCATTATTCTATACGGAATAACTGCATCCATTCGTAATTAGTGGGGCGCGAGTATCCCGGTTTAGATTGAAACTAGCAAACATTAGATAGCAATTACAGGATATTCCAGTAATAAAGTCAATCAAATTTAAAAATAAATATGAAATGACAGTTCAGGTGAATGTCCATTCAATAAAGTTACCCTAATCTTGAAACACAAGCTTGAAACTAGGAAACAACTCAGAATACCAACTTCTATAACCGTGGTAGTGTTCAAAATCTTGCATGAAAAACATGTGACGTGTTCATGGTAATTGGCAAAGCAATGTCTTACGTTTTTGGCGTTGGTTGCGGCATCAGTTTTGCTGGAAGCGTTCTGCTGCTGTCCCCACTCACTGCCTCTAGTCGCCTCTGTCTTCACTTCTGAAACGGGAATTATAATCCTTTAATTCTAAGCCTTTATAATTTCATGATATAGTCCGTGCAGTCATAAATGTATTAGGTAAATAACAAGAATTATTATGAAAATAAAATTAAGCAATGATTATTTTGCTTAATTATAACGATAATGATTGCACATAAGAGAGTAAAATTAGCATCATAAATAAAAATATTAGAATATATTAGCCTCGTCTAGGAGAAGAGACACTAATAATGCTTCAACATCTCTCATTTGAAATCGGTATAATACAATAAAACAAGTTGTGAAGAAATAGTCGAACAAATTTCCAGCCGGCAAATTTTTGGGGGGCTTGAGCAACATTTCCTGATGACATATATAAAACAATGTAATACTATGAATACCAGCTATTATAAAATAACTTTGAAATTGTAAAAATAAAGGTAACATAGATGAGATGACATTTAGTTGTTATGTTAGTATCTAACAAATTTCTGCGCATTTGAAGCAAATTTAAAAAATTCTGGGCTCAAAATTTCACCTTAAAATAAAGCGATAATTCTCGCAGACGGACGACTTTCAGAATCAGTGAGTGCAGTGATCTATTAATTTTCAGAGCAAATGGTAGATACCATACAAGTAGGATGCATTTCACAGAAAATATTCATCTATTCACTATTTCTAATAAAGTAAAATTCCTATCTTTATCTTTTGAAGATGACATATTATCTTTTGGCATATTATATTATCTTTTTAAATTGAAAATAGTTCTGGAATTGAAAGATGACAACTTCGAAGTTGTCGGAAAGAATTTACAGAAGCAGCTAGTAATAAGTTTATATCTAGCCTAATTTCGTTTTGCTAAAATTCCCCGTTCAAGTCAAAACCACATGTAAATAGTTCATTTTTCAGTCAGGCAAAACACGAAACATGTAACGGAAGGACGGAAAACTCAGGAAGCACCAGCTTGTAATTTTCCTCGCAACAATCTGCAGCAGTAATCGAGTCATTCATATCGTAAATTTTCTATCGTTTCGCAGGAAGTATCTGTCTTCATTATCTGGAGCCGTTACAACTGATTATGCTTATGCCACAGTGAAAACATATCGTATCATACCCAACTAATTATCACGCTAACAGTGGAAAGACTTGGGAAAAATTCCAGGACTACTTTCCGCTATGCTAGTGTTCTGAAAATTAAAATAAACCGAATGTCTGACGCGTAACCATGGCAACGCCAAGTCTCACATCAAGCAAGATGGCTCACTCGTTGCGCAGCATCAATCCATCACTGACGCCTGACCGCAGCAGCCAGTGCTTCAATTCACACACCTATTATTTCACAAGAATTCACTACATTGTTATTGGTGCGTGATTGTAACATGAAACACTGTACTTTAAAAATCTTAAATCATTCTTGCATGCACATCATTGTCGAAAGTACATCTTATCCACCCTAAGAAATGAGAAATCGCTAAAATTTGAAAAAAATCTTTACTTTCGACTCCAACAGCTGTATACTCAAAAATATTTGCTACATCGAAATTATAGAAGCCTATCACCACGCTTGATCGATAATTATCGAGTATTACATTCCAATAATTATTTCACAGTTTGTCGACGGAAGGTTTAGGCGGATGCGTTTCAGAGCAAACATCGCGATGCAGAAGGTAGCGCGCCAGGATGTCAGTTCCAGGCGCGCGGGAAGGCAAGAGTGTGGACCGTGGGGCTGGAGCGAGCGCGGCGCTGCAGAGCACCGGGTGCGGGGCGTGGGTGCGTGGGGGTGCAGGCGAGAAGGGGAAAGACTACACGAGGTGGCCGAGCCCCTCTCAGCACTCGTCCGTCCTCCCCGCACTACTCCCCACAACCTATTACATTCAGGCTATTATACATCCGACTGCCCGAGAACCTCAACAATGTATAGCTTGGCTGAGTCCTCTCTTTAGTAAAGTCGTTGCATCCTACATTTCTTTTTTTCCATGAAGACTTGCTGTTCAAATTGTCAGAGTTATCCATTACAACTTATATATTTAGAAGTTACTTAAAAGAAGCCAAAAATAAGGACCTTTTCTGTTTTGATCCAGGCTTATGATAGCATTTTACGTTCGCGTAAAATGAGTCGAACATGAAAAGGAAGTCCCCCAGAAAATTCATTAAATTGGAACAGGCGTAAAGCTGTTAGAAAAGCGAATTGTTATCGCCTAGTAACATGTTTATGATTTATATTTTTCTTAAACTACAGCGTCTTCTTAACTGTAGCTGAGACGGCTACTCATGTATCACCAAAACGACGGCACTTATAAATGGCTCTCGCAACTTATCCTGATTTTAGGGAAAACTTCTTTCATTAGTAATCAATTTAGTTTTCATTTAATACCGTTGGATGGATTTCAGAGATTGAATAAATTGCATATGCATATAGCGAAAAAACTTGTAGCAACCTTTTTTATGGTTTTTATGATGTTTTTTATGATAATAGAAAATAATACACGTTATTTCACCGTCAAAGTTCGGTGCATAAAATAAACGATACGAGTTCTTTTGGATTAAATGGGAGGCAACGTTAGCATGTAGGCATAGAGGATCATTCTTCACTGAACTATAGGGACACTAGTGTTAGCTTTGCAGAACCAAATAAACAAATAAATATCATCAATGGATGCAACGATAGAACTGAAGGTTATAATACTGACATTAATTATACTGGGACATATTCATTAATTATACTGGGATAGCCATATACTGGGACAAGTTCGATTTACGATTGAATCTGAGATTTTCGCGGGAAAAAATTAAAAAAAATTTAAGACTATTCAATTTAATTGAAGAAAATTCAACTTAATTTGGATGTTCGAAATTTGAAAACGATTTTCATTCGATTTTAGAAAACGGCTAAACATCGTGCGATAGTTCAGTAACAAGAATAGCGCCAAATGAACTCGTTTCTACTCCCAATTTTTATCCAAAATCTCACTCTACTCGTCACAATATTCATTATTTCCATTGCGCTCAAGTCCTACTAAGTATTGTGAGTGTTACCAAGCATCTAAACAACGAAAGGAATTTTGGAGCATATGAGTTATAAAAAAATATGGTGTGTTATTCAGAAAGAAAAACAAAATTATAAAATGAAATGGGCGTTAAAGAAGAAAAAGTAAAGAAGAAAATTACAAGAAGTGAGGCAGAAAGTAACACGGGGCCAAAAATAAAGATAGGGAAAATGTTAAGAAATTAGCTCGGGAAAGAAAATACAACTGCTTTCAAGAGATTAGGGGATAAAAAATGTTAGACGTAAGGAACAAAAATATCATGTGAGAAAATGGAACGAGTGAACGAGAAGAGCAGAGGGAGCGAGGTATGAGGTGCAAGGCGCGGCCAGGGAGAGCAAGGTGAGAGTGCGGCGGCACGAGTGAGAAGGAGCGAGAGGGGTCGTCGCTATTGATCAACTCTCCCAACACGACCACTCTCCCCGCCTCTCTCTCAATGGGACCCTTCGTACACGTGAGGGAGACTCCAGTCTGGCAACTAGCGAGAGGGAGCGAGAGAGCAAAAGCACCGAACAAACGCCACCAACGAATGCGGGATTAGGAAGTAAAGCCTGCCAGATATCTTAGAGCTCGAATGCTCGTAGACGGAGTGAGCGCAATCCAGAGGCTGTTGTTCCTAACATGCCTGCTATATGAGATGTAGGGACAACGCCTCAGTACCTACACATCAACTGAAAGACAAACTGGAAACAAAGATAAAGAGATCAAAATTCCTATGTATGTTAAACAATGCGCTGATATAAGAATAAGAGGAGTGGTAAATAACTGCCAAAAACAATAGCATCGAAATCAGGAAACCAATTGCCTGAACGCTTGAGAAACTATAATACATGAATATCTTTCAGTATAATGAATGACGTTAAAATAGTTACAAATGAATGAATGCAAATTACAAAAAGTCAAACTTAACAAATTAAAAGAGACTATTCCTAAACTCCTCCTTTTATTCCTAAGGTAATAGGAGCCCCCATTTAAAGGTTAAATGAGGTTTAAGGAACAAAGCTTCTGGGTCGTGCTACAGCGTGATTGAATTATGTATCGGAATTTCATGCGTGGTACACGTCAGGTACAAAGTACGTCACCGCGCAGCACAACGCACGCGTGTGAATAAAATTCACTTAATCATAGCAGTAAAACAGGAGTGTTCATATATACATAAAGATGGAAGTCTTGATCAATCGTTAATCTAAGGTAATGAGTAGAGGACAAGTTGGCAAAATAAAAATTGATGATAAAAATTTGATGGAGAAAACACCAAAAAAATTATGTAAAGCTGCTCCTTTGTTCTCAAACACGATAGAAAAAGGACTAAGCGAGTTGCTAAAATATTTAGGTAATTATTTCCAGTAAAAGAATTTTCGTTGATGAAATATTCGTGATGCATCATATAGCTTCTTCATGGACTTTTTGTGACATTTTATATTTTCCTAACTTTAAATTACCAGTAATAAATTCAAGCAGAATTTCGCGTCTATCAAAATATTACTAGCATCAAACGATTTCTTCCGCCGGATCAGAGAACTTCCGAACCATCATGATACAGTTGAATATAGTTAGATGAAGTTAGTAATTTTTGGCCGGTTAAGAGTTGGTTGAATCGTTGTTAAGGTTAAGAGTTGGTTGAATCCATATTGAATTTGACGTCTCAGAATTATCTCTGATGAATATGCTTGTTCTTTAATAATCTGATGATTATGCTTGTCCTTAATAATCTGATGATTATGCTGGTCCTAAATAAGATCACGTCACACATGTTACCAGATGTTCCATCATTTTCGAATTATAACATTTTTTATCTTTTATACAATTGTTCAAAGAAATCAGGGGTCAGGTGCTGAGTTAATTTCTTGTTAAATAGATACTATGTATCGAATCGCATATGGAAATTGACAGGCCATAAAGATCAGCAGCACCAAATCTGGCGCTCGCAAGGTTCAGAGAGTGAGTAAGGGTTTAGCGTGGTATGATGTGTAGGAGGCGGGCGAGGGGTAAGGTGAGGGTAGACAGAGATAGGAGGTAATATCGAGCTGCAGCGTCATGGATGTTCGTAAGGACTGGGCAAGGGGAACTGAATAGCCAGGGGCGGAGGGTCGACAGGGAAGGTGCGCGCGGTCTCTCAAGAGCACATGGAACGATGCTTGAAATTCCTTTGCAACCACGCAAAGGATCTGCAAGCAGAACATCGATGCAATGACCTCTACATAATGGATATATTTCGATCAAAACATTTGCCCAAGCCTATAATAGTTGAAAATCGTGCGGATCATAAATAACGGTAAGAAGTTATCGATAAATTTCCCGTTCTTCATTTAAAGAATGACGTATAAATGGAGCGAGTATATTCACCTGTCTTGGAGTCGTCCGTGGCGGTGGCAGCGTCGACGGCGGCGGACCCGCCTGCAGCTGCGACACCAGCTGAGGTGGCGTCGCCGTGGTTAGGGTTCAGCCCACCAGTGTCCTGCACATGAATATATGCCACAACATTCTAAGTATTGCCAGAACGTCAGCAGCATCTTGATAATTTAGAAAATGCTAAATACGTACTCAAGAACAATGTCACGAGACGAAAATCAATCAACTGCCAAAGTGATGGATGATCACTAATGATTTAAAAGCAACAAAAATAGTCTATATAAGGTGTGCACATAAACTTGAATCTTCTTTTCAAAGTAGAGAATTGTACATCGAACGTTCAGCCCCAATTCGAAAAATATGACAGCAGATAAAATTTTTCTTCTTTTGCAGTTAAATAACAGTGTTAATTCTACCGCTATGAAATGATGACTTGATTAGATCAATCATTTCTTTTTCAGCCTCTTGTCATGCAGGACGCTCGATTCGCGTTAGAATGGCACTCTTTGACAGAGGGAAAATATCGACAAATTTTTGAGGAGATCGTTGCTCAGAAAGAGTGACTTTGGTTAGGCAACTGTGGCATGATGCATGTAATTTTCATAAAAACTTATTTTGTTCATATTAGTTTTTGAATTCCCATAGCAAAGTTTATGACATAACGTAGAGGTGCAATCATATATATACGAGTACAATAATATTGAGCTTATAATTTTATGAAATACGCATCCATAGTTGATTCATTATTTGAATAATGAAACAGCAACACGGATGTAAACCTCTGATGGAACAGGTCACGCATAAACGTATTCCACGCGAATGTGCTGCGCGATTGCTCAATGCAAGTTAATGACTCCGTATAAACTGAATTCCTCCAGACTTCAAGCAACAGCGATAAAGAAAATTACACTTAATTTAGAACTCTACCAAATGAATTACATCTGAATGAGATTGTAAACTCGTTCGACGTTATCCTGGTCTCATGAATTGAGAAAAACGAACACGAACGTCAGCTGAAGGCCGAACTCCTGGCACATCAGATGTCCACAGGATGGTGTCCGACAGGAACTCCACGTGCAGGTAAAGTACAGCACTCATGACGTAAAAAAGTACCTACTTATTTCACATAGATTCCTAGATTAAAAATTGAAAATAGAAGAAACAAGTTACTGAATAAAACTATTTTTTATACAGAAAAACTGTTCGTGATAGTATTATGGTAATATCATTTAGGTCTTTAAAATTGTGAAGGGTGCTGAATTGACGTAAATAAAATGTACTAACAAAATATGATGACAAAAATAATTCATGGCTCAATATGTCGACAAAGTAAAATCTGCAACAGAAAACACACAACTAACAATTAATTTTTTTGCACGGGCAATAGATGTTGGTAAGAAACGAGAAATTTAAACATACCCAATAATGAATTTTAAGAAAAAAATCATTCGCTCGCAACAAACTTGTTCAAACTGAAGCTAAAGCTGACTCACTTGATCGTTTTTTAATTCACATTCACAAAGGTTTCAATCTGCACGGGAAGTTTTATCATATCACATGTTAAAAAAAAAACATAATTCCATCTTCAAGAAAAAAGTACCCGAATTATAAGCCAGGCTTAAGTAAATATCTTTTATTGGAACTAACACAAAAACAAAAGGTGGAAGAGACTATATCTCAGCAGTTTATGAATGATCAATATTAAATATTAGGAAGTGTAGACGATACGAGATCTGCAACAGCCAAGGCTCTGGACACACCCACCAACTATAAGGCAAGACATGATAATGTGCCAGCTGACCCACCAGGAATTCATCGAAGCAAGGCTGCGGTGGTATCACACCTCGACATTTCAATTTCAACATTTCAATACACGCCAGAAAATTAAACGTAGTATAAAGCATGCGTTCTGAGCCTCCGGGTCGTGCGCTAAATTAAATCTTAGTATTTCCTCCCGGCAAACATGTGCTAGTACGTACCACTCATGAATTGACCGGACCAGCTGCGAACTTCCGAGGTCATCCAAGCATGATATGAATTCATTTCACCATTTCACATAAGATTTTTCATGCATAGAAAACAACAAGAACAAATTTCAGAAATAATTTGCCTTCTTACAAGAAAATACAAAATTATCTGGCAATATTTTCTGTGTGGCAAATCAAGTCGTAATAAGTGCCCGGAAGTTGTCTGTCAAAGCGCCGTTTGGAATTATAATTTGAATGAATAGTTCGTCATTACTTCGCATATTTTCAGATTAAGTAAAATGTAGTTATCTTTCGGTATTTTGAAATCATAATAAAATCATAGTAAGAATTGTGTTCGAATACGCCAGCATGGAACACTATAACAATTTTAACGATAACCATCATTATATTCAGTGTAATATATTCAACAAAAACAATATTGTTTCAGCCTCATTTCAATTACGCACATGATTAAAGTGCAACCAAAATAACACGTCTTTTTCATGGTAGCTGAAATTTAATTAATTACAAAATGACATTTTCGTACATAATTTTACCAAAGAAGTAGGATATACATATAACAGAACCCATTTATCGCGTAGTCGTATTTCGTCCAAACGAGCCGTCATTTTTTGGCTTTCACGAGATAACCTGCCCAAATTTGTACAGAAAACGAAAGAGATTAGGAGTAATAAAACATAACATAATACTGAGTGAGTGTACTTTGGCTAATTCCCTTTGACTTGATGCTTTAATCGAGACCCAGAGAGCGAAGATATAGAATTATAGCAAACTTTGATTGACAGTTATGGAAAGGGAATAATGCATTGCCTTTTACCTGCTTACTTGAGAATCCTTGAACTAAATTTTCGGTATAATATATTTCAAAAATAAAGGATAAGTAGCGGTTTGAGTGAAATATCACCGACTACTTAAGTACTACCGAAATTTGATTAACCACGGTACACGAATGAACAACAGCGATGAGCGTATCCGTTGAATACGTAAGGAATACGGCGAGCATATCTTCAACACTACCAGACATTGAACGATAGTTTCTGAAAAGCAGTCATGAGAGTAGACATCAAGGTATTATAAATTTGATACTCGCGCAAATTGCGAGAGGGATTAATATTAATTAATCCCTCTTAAATTATAATAAATCCCTTTAAACAACAAAACTATATGAACTGCACTGTCGAACGGCAACAAAAACATCGTCACATTAGGATACTCTCGCAAGGAAATGACGCATATTATAATGTCCAGTGCAAATACAATAGCATTAACACATTCAGAACTGTTCTTTGAAGATGAATCCGAACAAAATGTACATAACACACAAGTATCTCAGAAACGCCTTTCACCATACAAATTAACAGGCGAATGCCTAGCGGTAACCGATAGAAAAAAATCGACAAACAGTGCATCGTTCAGCATTACTAATAGGTGTAGCCTATCTTCTCACCTAGGTTGCAAGGTGTTGCTAAGCCAAACAGTGCCAACCTAAATGTAACGTGTGAGCAAAATGCAGAGCAGCAGAAAATTTGATACGAGGCATCGAACGGAGCCACAGTCATATCCTGATTTACTAACTAACGTTCAGAACCGCAAGGCGTTGTGAATCGCTTCCTACGGCCTTACATTTTCATTAATCTTCGTGTGCCCACTCGATTACAATATGAAATTTTTACTTTGCAATTCATTGATTGTACCTAGTGTGCGTGGAATCGTCCTCTCTTTTAACCACTTTTTCATTCCTAGGATTAGGGAATTTGTAAATAATAATAATAGTAATAATAATGCTAATACTAATAGGAATGACATTAATAATAATAATAATAATAACGAATGCATTTCAAATTTTTACAACAACGGAAAAGACGTAATTTGCGAACATTCCAACAGTTATAACATAGTTCAAAATTCAATATATATTAGCTTACTATCTCGTAAGACGAGCCTCGGAACCTTGAATCGATGTTACACCAACCGAGGTAGTTACTATAGCATGCAGATGTTTCAATCGATAAATGTTGTTGCTTGCGAATGAGCCAAAATTTTCGCCCAGAAATAATTTTGAAGAAGAGAGTCGAAGCACGATTTTCCAGGTAGTAGGAAGTCCCTTGCAAGAAGCAGTAAAATATTATTCTTGACAGTAAAGTTATGAGGGCGATCTCTTCTGCGATGAATGCATCGCGGAGACTGTTTGCACACTGCAGAGTTGAGATGTCGCCTTTTTTGCGAGAAAAGAGCAAGGCATCAAAATTCCCAACCCAAACCAAAACGTGTTTTCTGGGGCTAAAATAATCAAGGTCTTGGAATTATTGGTAGACCTTTTACAAGCTACTCTTAGGAGTGGCTTGAACATATACAAAATTTGTGATGCTGTTTAAATTAATCTCATTAAGTCTCATCTGAAAAACTAGGCGATAGCTTTTTCTACCACCTAGCATTACTCTTTGCATTAATAACCAGCCAATTTGCAACAGAACGTTCAACTAATTAATAAAAAAACAGAATGGATCAAAAAATGCATCATTTATTGATCTAATTTAAAATGACGAAGTCAAGATAAAAAATTATTTTGCAATAATTAAATAAAACAGAGTAATCACATAAAACAGAGCTTGAATTAGTAATTTAAAAAATGAGACTTTGATCTCCGAGCAACTATAAATTATTACCATTAGCCAAAAATTTCAGAGACTACGACTCAATCACAGACAAAAATAAGTCTCCAACCAAGACGACCACGAATAAAAATTCTGAACAACAAATAGACAGACCAAAATTGATGCGTTCAAATAAAATGCGGCAATATCATCAACACTTATCAGTTACGCATAAAGATTCGTTCGTTTCCTATTTAGGTAATCCGTCAAGGACAACCCGCTACGTCTTCACACCCAGTGACATACACGTTTACCTTGCACGTCTGGGACTTCACAGAAACTAGGAAACTTGTTTATTTAACTACAACAAAATATAGTATAGTTAAGGTAATAGCACACATGGCATGAGAAATTCACCCAAGAAATCTTAGCATGATAAAATTCTTCTGTAACGAAAGCGTATATATGCTGGATATAAATGTAGCTACTTACTTCGACGCGAGACTTATCATGGTTCTAGATGAATGTAAAAATCTCAAAATCTTTGCGCAACAGTTTCATGAGTTCAAACAAAATTAAGAAAATTACTATAACTAGAGCATTTACGCTAAATTTTGATGTAAGTAACGCAGCATAAACGTTCTTGCAGAAATTGATTTTTTTACACGCAATCACATTCTCTAATTCATTATAATATGGAGTCAAACAAAAAATCCAGTTTTTTCGACGACATATTTATACTATATCAATTACGATAGCTAAAAACGAACATAATTTTGCTGAATTTGGAGAGAGTACAATGGATTTGCCGTTGACAAGCAACATATCAGATAATATGTGTCGTATTCAGCCCTGATATTCAGAGCATGGCTCTACAATAGCGTCGTCTAATGGGAGCATCCTTCCCTCGCAGAGCCTGAACTACCGTCACAAGCAATACCATTTCTCAGCAACATATAGGAGCGTACACCAGAACATTGATTTCTGCTTCAATTCCGTTCCTTTACGGCCTCTCCCATTTAGTCATTTTTAATATTATTAATTAAATCCACATAACATCACATGGGTCGATTTGTTCCAATATTGCCGAAACATAAATTACGAATACAACAAATAATTTGAATCCACAAGTCGGTTGGAAAAAGAAACATGTACTGACTGCGTTATACTTTTTTGCTTTTTAATCCATTTTAGCTCATTTAGTGGAGATCATTATATGGTAAGTTAGTGGCATTAACATGAATGATAATAATATTAAGTAACTTGTATCATTACTGCATCAACAAGAATTTGTTGCGGCTGCAAAGAAAGGCCAAAAAATTAATTATTCATGAAACGCGCAAATGAACTATTCTTTAAACTTTTTGGACAATCCTTTTCGTAACATGGCACAACTAATTGAATACTGTTTAAATGAATGTAAGACAATTGGATGTTTAAGGGATCACATCAAACTCTGAAAGGTGTTCGCTACATATCCTTAGTATTCACGAGCCGATGAGAATTAAAATTGTTCCGGCATAATGCAAAAGGTTTTAAGTATGAGCTCGGTTCGTCCTCAAAGTGTTAACAATCATTGTTAAGGCATTAATTATGACGAAATGCTGGCCAAGTGACAAGATTCTAGAGTACTTTTAAGATAGTTCAGTAATGATAAGAAAGAATTGTAAGCTAAATCAAATAGAATATCCCGATATTTACCTTAACGACCTGTGTAACTTTTCTGCGGTGAGCCATCACTTCTCAGATTGTCATCACAAACTCTGCTATGTATGATGCAGAAGTAGCGCGCCAATGGTTCCGATGTAAATGCAAAACAGCCACGCTTTTCAAAACAAATAAGACGCAATTACAATAATTCCTGGATGAATTGAAAACTCCAGCAATGAAAATTGATTAGCGCTCGAGAGCTAAGATATAAAGCAAAATTTCAGTAACTTTTATATTACAGCAGCGTAGGGTAAACTAAAGGGATTTTAGCAGTCAAGGTTCCTATCGGAGGTGCGCACTGACCAACTAGACTACCTCCCACCACCATCGCTCTCGTGACACTGCGGCCCCGCACCCCGTTGCCCCTGAAAGAGTAACTCAACTCGAGAGAGGAGAAGAACCAGCGGCACAATCTGCCCCTGTGCAACCAATGGGCTTCAAAGGTAACCATCCCCAATTCCTCTCACGAGCCGTGCCTAGTATTTCACGCATTAAATCAATACGATTACTTGACCACAGATAAAACAAGTACTATATAATACTTATAACCTTCACACATAACATAAACGAGTATAAAGCGCACATTTAAGGAACAAAATGATAAGAGGCTTCACGCAACACTGAGAGGAGTGTCAGCCCCCGCAGCACGCTCGCTCTAGGGGTGAGCCCCCTCTCAACACCGGACACCTTAAAACGACTACAGCTGATAGCGGTGCAGTAAGGGTGCAGATACCACCGTGCCTAGCATGATTCTAGACAGCATCGAGGTCACAGATCACAGTAGTGAGCTCAGTTTCTGCTCTCACACTAGTAAGCGCTATCATTTTAGCTTGAAGTCAGATTGCCCTATCTCAGATGCATTGGGATATCTATAGCAGCGCATCACATTACATAAAAATACATTTAAAATGTATTACATAAAATGTGTTTCACACAGTATGATCGTATACAAATGTTTGAAGACACAGACACAGGAATGATATCGTTCCAAGAATATCACTTACCACCACCTTACTGCTTGCCCTATATTTTTGCACGACTATGGAACTCAAAAAAAAAAATCCAAAACAAACTTAATCACTGTTTTCAGGTCAAATAACAAGTAACTTTGATCGAAACAAAACTGCTCGTCATTTAATTGACTTAATTAATTATAGTAATAGTGGCATTCTAATAGTCATCTACTCGTAATATTTAAATGACTTACCCTGTGAGTGAATCCATTGTAAAAATTGCAGCGGTTGTCTTCCTGGAAGCCAAGGTAGGATGAGAGCAGTAGCGCGTCCGGTTTTTCTTGGGCTTCGGTTTTGACGGTAATCGATTCCCCAGATAACACTGTAGCGTTTCCTTGGAGAAGATGCATTTGCAGGGCCATCAGCTGACGGGCTTTTATTTCTTGTTGCTGTTCTTGCAATAACTGCTGCTGTTGAAGCTGCAGATAAAGCTGGGCTTGATGCTCACGACGAATCATATCTTCGTTCCGTATTCGCTGTACTTCAATTGCGTCAAATTGAAGTTTTCTCTCTTCTTCCATTTCCATTAACCTCTCCTGCTCCTCGTACTTTTGTTGTTCAAAATCCCTCATATGTTTTAAATAAATAGTAGTAATCGGCATGGAATAGTTTATTGAAGAAGAAAAGTCGCTCAATTTCATATTGAACCCATGCCTGTCTTCTTTAGGAGAATATATTGAATAAGCGGGCTCTTTCGGTAGTACGGATAAAGTCTGGTCCACGTCGAACGCATCATTAATCACTGAGACTTGAACTGATGGTTTGACATTAATATTTTCTTCAATTACCGGAGTTGATTCTTTGTGCGAGGCACTTGTAAGGATACTCTTATTTTCTAATGAACTTGGTGAATTATTATTGTTGAATATTTGAGTGATATCTTCTTTGTTAATGGTTTCTCTATCGTTCAAATCAGTCGGGAATTGTGCCTCAGGTATGGAAGGCAGGAGAGAACGAGAAGAAGCAATATTAGAGGCAGGGGATGATTTGGGCGACGCACACAGAGTTAAAGAAGGAGTTTTAGAAGGCGAAACAATGACAGGAAGTGAATCGTTTTTTGGTGGCGAACGTTTACTAGAGACAGTAGAGCTCACTTTTGACCCAGGAGAACCCTTTTGTGCAGATACTTTAGTGCTACGTTTGGGAGACTTGACTTTACTTTTCGAAGGAGACTCAGTGTGTACGTGAGCAATTGGAGTTAAGGGTGGGGTCAGCTGACTGTGCAATAGATTTACAGGATGAGAAAGATGGTGAGAAAGGCTCAGAGGAGACTGCAAAAGAGGATTAGAGAGTTGGAAAGGACTTGCTAAAGAGAGTGGACAGGTCAGTAAACTAGAATGAGGGACGGAATTCAAAGAGGGAATCGAAGAGAGAGAATGCGAGCTTCCAGAGCCAATGGAGTTGATACAAGCGCGATTAACCACGTCAATTGGGTTGTAAGATTGGGAGGCAATAGCTGAGTGGCTGGTGTGGTCAGGCAACATTGAAGAAATTGAGTGCGAGGAAAGAGATGCAGGGGAAGGCGAAGGAAGGAAGGATATGATATTGTGAGGCGTAGGGTGTGTTGGAGTCATCGGCAAGAATGAATGGGAGTTCGACGAGAGGGGATGCGACTGGGTGAGAGGAGACGAAGGTGAAAGATGTGAGGAAGGAATGCCAGTGTATTTCTTGGCTCCGTTCGTTCCATTGCGACTGCTGCTATTAATGGGTTGGAACGCTGATCCGTTTTTTGACATTCGGACGGCATCGGAGTTTCTCTTTTCAGGTTTTGTGGGAGTGACAGATTCCTTGGCGTTGATGCCGTTCAAGCTCGTGTTCAAAGTATTATTATTATTCATGTGGAGGCCTTTGTCACCGATGAGATTGTTGTTGTTATTATTGATATTATTATTGTTGTTTAGGTTAGCGTTTATGCCTCCAGAAGCCCCAGAAGATCTGCGCGGACACTCGGTGCAAAGCACCAAGAATTTCGTGACTGCCTCCCGCGGGACAAATGCGTACCGTTCAGATACCTGATGGAAAACGATAAAAAAAAGGTCAACTTCTCGTGTTTCATTCCTTAATCGTTAAATATATGCATAGTAACCTAAGGTTGAATGAGGAACGAACGGAGAAAATTTTGAAGTGATAATAGTGAACAAGAAGATTAAAATTAGATTTTTTATTATTCCATCATTTTAACGTTCGCTACATAATCCCAATAGTGAGAAATATTATTTGCTGAGAGGTAAAAAGTAGGGAAATGTATTGCTTGTACTCGAATGAAGCAAAGGCATCGAATTGACGGTCTTGTTACGACTGTCGCTCTCATAGTGTCCGAATTCAACTGATCGGCCCAGAACTTTTGCGATTAGAGGGCGGACAAAAAATTCTGTCAAAGCTGCGCAACGCGTGATGGGGATTAAATATTGTGTTCTTGATTACATAGCAGTGGGTTCATAATTTAGAATTGTAAAATGTATGCTTAAATCACTTGAACCGCTAATTCCGAATCATCGACAGAAAGATGCGTCTTGTGCACAAAGAACTCGCACCGTGTGCTCCGGAATTTATTTATTGGAATTATAAACTATGGCCATATGGCCTAATCTACGCCTTAAATTTATTGAAAACGGGCCTGTTCACACAATATTCAAACAGGACCGCGGCTTGCGATGGTGATTTAAGATGAAAATTAAAATTTTGATGGTTCCTAAAAATTACACAATCCCATGTTACACAATTGACAACGGTATACATGAGCGGCAGACAGGTATTATAGACCGCAATGAAGCAAAAATTCCTTCATTAGTGATAGAAATATTTTTAAAAACGGCAACTCATAGAAAATGAGATGAAAAAGAATCACTTACCGCACGATATGTCCTCTTTTGACCCATATGCTTCTGTTCCTTGCCATCTTTGCAAACGTGCAGGTTATAAATAATATCGAAGAAGTCTTCAACGATGGCGACTTTCTTGTAGGAAATACGGTCGTTTCCCTCCGAATCCTGTAAAAAGAAAATACTAAAATTAAGGAAGAAAGTTTTCTGTAGGAACGACTGAACTAATCTGGAGGCAACTGCGAAATTCGCCGCTCAAGATTGATCTCTCATTTACATGGCATTATAATAATAGTCATTAAATAGAAAACATTTAATAAATTAGTTGCCGGAAATTTCAAGCACTGATTTTTCTCAGAAGTTTTCACCAGAAAACTCAACTATCAACTATTTGGTTATGGTTAACAACCCACGGTTTGAATCGCAAAACAAAAGTATTCATGTCTGTAGTGACAGTGAACTGTGACACCAATGAGAAGACCAATTCTTAAGTTTGGCGTCGTTTGAACAACACTTTACGACTAAAGCTGGAACAGAATTCGTCAATATCTGGCATGATTCTTATATTAAGTAATTGGTTTGAAAATTTTCGTCCAAACAGGCAACAGGGCGATGACACTTATAGTTGTACTCTTGAAATTTGGTAAAGCGTTTGCGCACTCCCATTCAATTCTCATGTGTTGCAGTCAGTGTATCACAGGCACAGTAAATGAGACGGAACAAATGTTACGAAAGGGCCCGGTGCAAACAAAATCAAGCAAACGATAAATAACAATAGGCCAAATGCCCCTTGTTTACAGCCGTTAGACCAGTTCATCTGAAGTGAATCACTTTGATGAATCACTTGGAATCACTTTGATATTGAACACATCAATTGTAAGATTGTTACTGCTAATCGACAAAAAAAGTTCGGCAGACAGAAAAGCAACAACCTAAAGGTGAAAAAATACCTAAACAATCAAACACAAATGTATTTAGTTTCCATTTAGCCAAATGCCTCAACTGAATAAACCGAAAAATCACGAAGAGCATTGAACATCCATCGACTGGCATTTACAAAAATTTCAGACATGAACTCGCAGAATCGAACGCAGGGTAGTTTTTTGTCAGGATCCTGGTGATCATCAGATAACATATACTGATAACACTATCTACTGCACACAATTTCCCCACTGTTGGTCACCCCACGCTATATACGGACACTCTTCATGTATCGCGCACTTCTTTGCGTAACAATGGCTGCGTACTTTTTGTTGCAATTGTGACCGAACAATGAACAAATCCGTGTTTCTAACGTAAGGATACGTTCCACAAGAGATGAAAGCCTCCTCTTATAATTTGTGTCAGCCATTAACATCACAAGGGGTCCAAAGTAAAGAAAGAGATAGCCAAGAATCGAAAAGCATGCGTCGCAGCCTTCTTCGATCCTCCACATCCAAATTAAGATTTCATTTCAAAATTGTGCGTGACGCATACATAATAAATAAACATAAAGAATGTATATAGCAAGGGAATATATTTCTGATTAAATAACTGTTGAAAGCGGGGAAAGTCCGATACAGCAGCGGCAGCAACAAAATCTCGGCGATAACGAGACATGACTCGTCTATCAAAAGCGTGAGCACACTCACTCCACCTGCCTTTACTGCTGCATCAATAAAAAGCCGCGCGAGCGAAACCCAAAGCCTCGTCGCAAACGAGGTGTATGATGCCCGTTGAACGCTAACTTTTGCACCTCTGTGACCTGCTGAGAAATAAGACCGAAGCAAAGTGAGAACGAGCGCTGCAGGTTTGGTGGCCTGGCGGGATCAGAGCAGAGCGGGAGCCCCTAGTGGTCGATAGCCTTCCTGTGCGCTGATCTACAAGTGGATGGATGGATCCTCGTCGCACGGTCGTCGCCCGTCAAGAGCCGCCACCACCTCGGGCTTCAATTCTTGTGCTGACGTTGCAGCGATGCTCAATATTAGTTGATCAAATATTCGACAACCAAACTGATCCCAAAAACACGTTCAAAGTGCAGGAACAGATTGTCATTCAACGTTAGACCATTTACCTTTACATGTTTTTCAATTTAACTGACTGCTCACGCGTATGAGGTCTTCACAAGGGAATAATGTCATCATTTCATGAATATCTAATGATTTAATTTCGAAATACAAGGACTTTACTAAGTAATAACGTCGTCATCACCTACATATCCGCGTCCTCTAACATTCCTGCTCGCTTGAATCGCAAGATTTTCCATCCTAGGCCGCTATTAAATTTCCTCGTTGATCGTTGGAGGCGGCAGTATGAAATGCCTTCCGGGGAGGGAGCGTACGAGGCAGTCAGGCCAGTCATTTGTTGCCGCCTCCGACGCCCTGATTCTTCCACGAAAGACGAGGCTCGTTCGCTCCCTCGTTTTGAGTAATTCATCGCGTTCACAAAAAGGCCCCGCAGAATCACTCGCGGTTTTGTGAATCACTCTCTTTGAAAATTAATGGGCAGCCTCGTCAAATATCACTTGCCAAATTGAGCGTTTCACGTTCCAGCATCATGGGGGCAAAAACGAGGTCAGCGCCCATATAAGAATCAATACTCTAGGGAGATTACGAGAAAGTCAACATTTGCGCAAATATAGTTTCAATGAAAACTAAAAAAAACGCTCAATTATTACAGCTTAAGAATTGTTAGCTACACTTCGGTAGGAACCGAACCAGAATTAGTCTAATATAAGCTATCCACATTAGTGCGTATTAGAACTGTCATAACTCGCATGAAAATTAAAACATAAAATGTTATCCTTTGAAAATAAATTCAAACATTAATAACTCGGATCTTGAGCGCGCATACAAAGATAATGGCTACAATATAGTCGCACTACAAAGGATTGGCAACCGAGACGACGCGGACGCCAACAAGTTTTACACAGACTTCACTATTTACGCTCACCGCCTTAAGTAAGACAGTGCATTAAGAACCTCCCTTTAACAAAGGGATTGAGCGCGCAGGAAATACTCCATGAAAAAGCAGCCACGACCACTAATGCCAGCTAAGGGCGTTTGGCTCCCTCGTCCGAGAGCAGGTCATTATCCCGAGCAGGCGTGAATCAATTAGCTCAGCGATACCGGTCTGGCTCGCTGCTCAAGAGCCAGCTGGAGTCTAAACCTTGCATGACATCGCCCAAACAATTTACACCCTCCGCACGCTCCAGCATTAGGGTCAAACCAGTCCCAGTCTGAGAAGGTCTTTCAAGACCAGTGTTTTTCTTTAGGATTTGAGTCATGAGAGGAGACAGCTTCATTTCAAATTGACCTGAAAAAGGGACTCTTAATTTATGAGAGAAAATAGACAATGACGAATTGTTCATAATTGAGGCAAAAGAGAAAGATCTTCTATCAGTAGATAGAAGATAAGGCAAAAAGGAAGAAAATCCACAAAATAACAGTAAGAAAGCCTTGAAAGCACATTGTGAGTCTCTGCAGCACCAGTCCCAGCTAAGAATCGTAGCCCCATGCTGTGTAATGCGTTAATCCCTGTCTTATGATAGGAGTACACATGGTCGTGTAGGGTTTACGCGGCGTTGTGGACAGAATTCTCTAAGCAGCAGCGCCAGATGTAAGCAATTTGGGAACTTGCGATCCTCGCCTTAAGGTCGAATTTAGAATGAGAATATCTATGAAAAGTGTCGCTGTAAAAGAGAAGCAGCTGAAGGCGGTACGGTTGCGCCTCTTGATGCCGCGGAAAGCTAAGTGTGAGATACCTCCTGCTCAATGCTCAAGCGTCACCTGCAATTATGGGTCTGTCACTGCTATAATATAAGCACGGAGGTTCATATGTTATTATGAAATCATAGAAAGACTAATACACTTGTCCATTTTCGAAGGCATCAAAATATAGAGATCAAAGCAGTTTAGCGATCATCTTTCCCCCGCTTAGAGCTTCTCACAAGTCTGTCGATGCTCCCGCCTTTCATGCAGGCATCCAGCTCCACCATTCCGCTACTAACGATGCGCACATTTCTCAGAGGGCCAGATGAGGTATGCATAGTGGTGCCATACAACGCTCACAACAGCACTCTATATTCCTTTCGTATGTCATGTGAATTTCGCTGTCGCTGCCACATTTGGAGCTCAAAAATGACATCGCAATTTCTTCATTATAGTGCGATATAAAGATAAGATATCAACACAAGCTGCAAGGCCATTAAATATTTGATGATCACGACCAGTGACAAATGATTGAGGTCATCATCAATCTTCAACTTAGTCATAACAGCACCAATTGACATTCGTACAACAAGAGGTTGTTCCATGCCTGTCACAGAATCTTCTTATCCGCATAGACTGCAGATCTTTTTCGCCACGGGCCTTCGTAATTGAGGTTCCAGCTAGCGTCGGTTTATCCAACGTCCCTCTGGAATCGCCAACGAGTGGATGTCTCTCTGGTGCTCTTGGAAGTTGCTGCCTTTACAGCTGCTCTCCGAATACTTTTAAACTCATTATATCATGATAAAGACCAGTGACCTCGAATAAGAATTGCGGTTACTACATAAAAAAATGTTTTGCTTGTTCGTTCCTGAACTGGAGTACGTTGTAAGCATTAAACCAAGATCCCTCCCAGACTTTCCTCACACTGCAAAAACCCGCCGAGTCTCGGCGTACTTGGCATGCTAAGTAGAAGGCTGTCTGGCTACTGACAGCTCGTCTGCCTTCTACCAGTACCTTCAATTCAGCTAAATTGTCCAAGGCGTTATGGCGTTCTTGATACAAAAGGAATAGTCGGAGAACGGAGATATATTCATCATATGTTGTCGAAAGCAACTACCGGTAGGTGGAACTCCATACAGTTACAGAACGACGCTACTCCTCTAAGACCTCAAACGAGAAGCTATACCGATAAAAAAACAGGCTCAGCACCGAGGAGTGAGCCAAATGGATGCAGAGCGGTAACAAGAGGCAGAGAGACCGAGTGCGGCGAGTAATGATGCGCTGCCGCAGCTTTTAGTGAGCTCATTGCATCTGGTTTGGAAGAGGGTCAATGCTGCGTGCCGAGGGTTCGGAAAAAGAACTCAGCCATGGAGGGATGGCGCGACGCTATAAACAACTAGGGCTAGAGGACGCAGATGGATGTGACACAAGTGCACCGCAGGGTCCAAAAACATCACTCTTTCAATCTGACAATATGAA